CAGATCGTAATGAAAAGAGGCAGGATGTTCGTAACTATGTTCGTGTGTGAACTTTTTTTGAGAGATTGTAAATGACTCAGTAGCTTGTATTTTAAGATAATGAACAAAACAATGCTCTCATGAATACAATAAATCTTTTTCAACTCAGAAAAAAGCACAAGAAATAGCATAGATAATCAAACAAAGTACAAAAAATAGAAAACTAAATCATAGAAAAGAATAGAGACATTTGTTTTAATGTTGATAAAGAATAGGGATTTCTATCATAAGAAAAAAAGTGAGATGTGCAAAGAAACGGAATGTTATTTTTTCATCCGTTTATTTGTTGTACCACGACTCTTAGCTTTCATTGCTTTACCATTTGTGGGAGTGGTTACATAATACTTTTTCCCACGCCCTCACTCTAATATTTACATTCTCCTTAAGATTAGTGCCCTCTATAAGTATTATAATATATTTACGATCTCCAGGTAAAATGAGTTTACGGACACCCGGTCATTTTCATCCCGATTTACTGACAGTATTAATTTACATATAGTCGACCACTTCGTTTCGATTTCCCTGTTTTTTTTTAAATTATAGTCGCCTAATAAACTTTTTTTACGGACTCCCGGTAAAAATGGCAAAAAAACAAGTCGAATCCGAACACCTAGACAAATTACCAGGTGTTCGGGATGCCTAGTACGTTTTGTCTTTGTCCCGTCTGAAGTCATACATACAAAAAAAAAGTTTTAATAGCTCTCCAAGTCAACAAATAAAGAGTTCGTATACGCTCATACACGATTCGTATTTTTTCGTAGACGTTTGGTGAGTGCGGGTACGATAGTTGCATCCATATGTCGTCCGCACCTACATCCACACCCACCCTCTTTAGACTGATAACTTTATATCCTATTATGTTAATACCGAGTACACCGATTTTTTTCAGAATTGAGTATAATCATCAGAATTTTTGACAAACGAATTGTGAATGTAGAGAAGTCAATTCCATTCATATTTGTAAACAACATTGAAAAAATAAATGACAGATTAGATGCAATTAGACAAATAGTGACTTTTTTGTATACTTGTCACAAATAAGTCAGTCAGCTCCTTATCTATGGTGTATTAACTGTAGTCGACTAATTAACTTGCAGTACCGGTTGTCGCCACCGTAATAAATTAATAAGTTCATGACGAAATAATTGGCTCGATAATATAAACAGATAAAAATTCATACATGGACCAGCAGTAGCTACCCAATTCAAGACAATTAAGAGATAGGTGTCTTCGGCTGTTTGTAAAGCAGTTTTTACCATGTTTATGCTTGTTATTGAAATGTAAAGATTACCAATTGAAAGAACAATTGTTGTCGAACAAAGTACAAAAGATTGAATAAGTAACATTTGAATTAACTGGTGGTCTGTTTTACTTTGTCTCCGTCGAGAATGATTTTGAGTATTGAGAGCTTGTACTCTTCTCATTCCTTGTCGAATATGTCGAATAGTTAGCAAACCAAAGCAAAGCATACAGCTAGTTGGGATCGAACTCCAGAAAATTAAGTCCCATATACCAAAAAATAATCGATATGTACTTGTTGCAAATAAACACATTCTCTGTGGTAACACAAGTGTAACGTTGAACGGTTCATGGATGTAAATAAGAAAAACGAACACAACTGTAATAGGAATGACACGATAGGCAACGCGTATGTTACTCCATCCACGAAGAGTGACAGATGATGAGCTACAAAGAAATCTAAACGAAAAAATTTAGATTGTCAAAACTTACAACAATGTCGAGAAACGATTAAGAATCATCGAACAAAGACAGAGTTAGGAAGCCGACGTCAAAAAATATGAAAAGTAGAAATTATTTATTTTCTATACTCAATAAAAAATCTAGTCTTTCGTAGACATTCATCTGTATTGACTCTAGCCATCTTTCAATGTTGGTAAATACTAACATATATGCACACTAGCAAAAATAAGAATATGTAAATCGGAAAATAAGATAATTTAAATTTTGTCCTAACATCTCATATGATCTTTCAAACTTACATGACATAAATCTTTGCTTATAGTCTAGTACTTACCGATCAATGGAAGCTAGAACAACAAACCAAATTGGTAATGCTCTAAATAATCAAGAAATAAAGTTCACTTTTTGTCATCTTCCATCAAGACTTGTATTACCTGATACATATCTGAATATAGTTTAGAAATTGACATACTGGAATCGAATATGCGTGTGCATCAATACCATAGCCTTGCTGAAGTAATCGCAATGGGATATTAATATAGACCGAACCACAACCAGACAGAGTAGATGCCAATAAATAACATGCGCAGGAATTTGAACGAAATGTAGGACGAGTCAAAACATAGATACTCAACGTATTACCTACTGCACCAAAAAAGAAGAGGCAGATAGCATAAAATTGAACGAATACAGCTAGTCGTTGGTAAATACCATTGATGTCAGAAGATATCGTTGTATTAGATGCGGACATTGTGCAAAATTGATGAAATCAATCAATAGTTTTGGATTTGTTTTATCTGAAAAATATGAAATTGTTTTCAAAAAAAGATCGGATAAATTGAGATGATGAATAATCCAGTTTCTATGACAAGCTTTAATTAACATGCTTTTGCTTTGATCCCAACGGGTCATTGAAGCATATAAGCTATTATGTTTATATATATTATTTTATAATCATTTCTTCTCTTTCCATCAATCTCACTTTGTTTTTATTAATAATCTATTTTTCTGTATTTTATATTAAACTTCTTCTATCTGTGGATTTAGCTATGTATAATGTCGATCATCTTCATTGCTATTCTTCTGCGTAAAAAGAAAGTTTTTCCGATATCTGACGAAAACATCTTGGGATTGAATATCATCAACAACCTATAAATATTCTTTTCACAACTTGAAAATTCATCAATAGAGACTGAAATACTCTAATTAAATTCTGATGCATTACATGTCTCATTAATTCTTCTATATAATTACTGTGTCTATTATAAACTATGTTGAAGTGAATAATCTAGATGCGCAAAACTAAACATCAATTTAATTTTTTAGACGTATAAAAAATATTCATCAAAATGAAAATCCATCTCAGCAATGCGCCAACGTTACCATAAAAGAAATACACAAAAAAGTCTAAACCTAAACTATATATCATAATTGAAGCCAAGCGTTTAGCTTTTACTTCGGTCTATTATAGTTTTAAAGTTCTTCGAGAATTATGTTTCTATTTTAACTCGAAGTAGTGGAATGAAACAGCGAATATTTTCTATTAGTGATCAAATCTCATGAACTTTTGAGAAACCCTAAATTTAAAAGTAACTTCAAAGACAAGTAGGAATCAACCACCACGGCATAAAAACAATTGACCCTTAGAAAACTTCGGAACGCAATGAATCCTAGGAATTTAAGGAATTAATAGACTTAAACAACTAGAAAAACTCTAAAAACTGACAAAAGTCAAGGAAACGAAAATATTCTCTCTTGAAACACTAAGATGTTTACAGTTTTCATCACGCTATTGTTGATGCAAGCCATCCGATGGGATTATTCTTTTAATGTTTATATAAAAAGGAAATGTCGCACGAGGACTAGTATGAATATTAATGTAGCTATAATTTAGGTAATCTTAGTGGTAAAAGATAGAATCCCTTGATTTTCTTCACTTGGATCGTGGTCTATAGTTTTTACTACTCCCTTGATAATATTATTGTTGATTTTTGGGGTTTAGAATTCATGAAATCCAGATATGCCTCTTTCTTCTTGATGCTTTCTACGGAAAAGAAATTATTAGAATAAAGCTGAGCGGAAATAAATATTTTATGGCATGTAAAATCTATTCTCCTTGAAAAATTTTCATTTGCCGCTTTGTTTCATTAATAAATAACTCAGTACAGTAGTGCGGCAAATAAAAAGACGTGTCTTATTATACATAATTAAAAATGAGAATATGTTAGTTGAAAGTATATTCATTATAAAAATTATGCTCCAATAAATGCATTAAAAAATAATTATACTATTATATGGTAATACTAACACGATTTAGAAGGATATTATTCGGGATAGAATAAAAGTCCAACAATAGAATGATAATAAAAAAAAAAGAAGTCATCCGCTTCTTTGAAACGACGTTCTATTAATTCTACTCAAATAAACTTTTGTCAACACACAACTTCAAAAATAAAAAAATAATGAAAAAGATGAAAGTTTAATATTACAGATTGTTAAGGAAGATACTTTCAAGAGAAAAATATAAATAACTCTTGTTTCAAAAGATCGTGTTTAATTAATAATATATATAAAACTAAATTTTACTTCTCCTATTAAATTAATTATTCGATGTTTCAGCATCTTAAAAAGCCATTTTTGTCTTAATAATAAGATTAAATTGATACTTGACATGATTAAAATTTCTTCTTCTATTTTATTTTATTTTAATTTTATTTGATATTAACAATTAATTAAAACAATTTGTAACGTTTCGTATCGTTATCAATGATTAATAATGAAAGCAAAAAAAGGCTATTTTACTCGTATATGTTAAAATGTTTGTCATAAATTTCATATGTAAAAAAGTATCTCATCGAGATACGGAACGTCACGAATTGTTTTAATTAATTGTTAATGTCAAATATAATTAAAAGACAAGAATTTAATCATATCAAATAATAAAAAGCCATTATTAAGAATACATGAATTATCATATATAGTCAAAAACCAGGAAAGGGTGTGGATGTGGGTGAGTATTACATTAGTCTTACTCTGATACCCACACCCATTTGAGTTGGTAATCATGTTAGTTGGTAACCGTCCAACTTGGGAGTCTTTCCAGTTGGAGATCAACTGACTTGCTATGATGGAGGAATCATTCAATATAAAATTGTGAGCGATGGACCATGTCGCGCAAGGGAGAAATTGTTACGCTTCAACGAGAAAACCTTTTTCGATCGAATTGGAAACAATTCGAAGTGGAAACGTTTATCAATATTTTCACTCATTAGAAGATATGGAAGAGACATAGAGTTATACGGTTCATTTTAATTATTCATATCGTATTAGATTAGATATTGAATGCGTATATTTCCACGTTTGTACCATTTCACTTTGAAAAAAGGATATCTGTTTGTATGAAATATCCGTATGGTATCGAATAAAGTATTAAATAGATATTGTTTTCGCTGTTTCCATTTCTCCTCAATATATTGCTTTTGTGGGGCTGAACCATTTCTCCTCAAAGTGAAACAATTTCCCAATCGGCTTTTCCAATAGTCCACTGCTGACAATTGTTGCCTATAAGATCGAGTATATGCAGTTTGTATGGGCTTTCCTGGTGAGAAATTCATTCGGTTAAATTCATCGTCGGCGAAAGTGGAGTTTATCGATATGGGCGTGATTAAGAATAAATGTAACACTCTCAACCATAATCTTACCGATACTAGTACCCACACCCATTATTAAAAATACAAAGTGACAATCGCTCAAAAATGAAAGCAACTAGCATTTCTTTTATTTCTTATAGATTATCGAGTTACTTCTGAATTATGGTCAATAATTTCTCTTATCAAATTTAAAATTGTATTCTACGAAAATGATGCAATGGAATCGAATTAATCATCAGATAATTTGATACGTTTGTGGTTAAATATCATTGGACTTTTTCTTTTTCCAATCCATATAACATTACATCCATTTTGTCTTGTTACTGTTGAATCAATAGTATTTTCAGTAAACCAATGAATAATTTCTGCGGAGAGTTTTAAACGTGTTGTTTCAAATTTTACAATTGAGAGATATTGACAACGCTCTAATATCGTCTCTATTTGATCTAATTTATTAACGGCTAGTTGCAAATATTTCATCTGACGTGGAATTATTGAACAAATATTATCTAGAAATGGATACATTTCATATCTGCAGTAACTACTATGAATTGTTAAAGATGTTAGATTAGGCGATCGTTCAATAAAATGAACTATTTCACACAATAAAATTTCATCGCTTTTATTGAAATAATGCTTTGTCAATGTAACTTCCACTAGCTGTGAAACGTCGATTAATGATCGAAAATATTCCATTGATTTCAACGAAGGTTTGTATTCAAATTCGATCTGAAGTTTAGTCACTTTTGGAAATAAAGGATTAATTCGTAACAAAAGCTAGAAATAAATGAATAGATACGTAGATTATCTTTCATGAAAATTAATATTTAGATGAAATACTTGTTTTGGAATATTATTATCGTGTATTTGCATTTTCAAAGATAAATTAAGTTCATTGATATTTTCTGTTAGTGATGGAGAAATATCTAAAGAAGTATAAACAAATATTTTTTCTGAATCTAATTCATATTTGAGAGTCGATTTGCAAATTGGTATTGTATAGAGTTGAATATTATGTGGTCTATTAATATTGAATACTCCAGCAATAAACCATTTTTTATATTTTGTCCAAAATGAACTTCGAAATGAATCAAGAATTATTTGAAGATCTTCACGAGTTTGTGCAATTGGTTTTTTAACATCCATAAAAAATTGAAATTTATCCAAATGTGGAAGATTTATTTGGATAAATTGTTCCCATCGTTTTCCATCTGCTACACATTCTTTGCCAATTAATTTTAAACAAATCAATGATGGTGTTAACATAAGAAATGACTCAAGTCGATCAGTTGGTACATCTAATTGTTCAATTGTCAATGAAGTTATTTGTGGAAAAGTCGAAGTTAATATTGTACGATCAATCATAGTGGGTAAATCTTGTTTTAGAATGAGTTTATGAAGTTGCGAAGCACTCGATAGAATTCTGCATAGATTATCAAAAGTAATGTTTTCATGTATGATTAAATGTTCAATTCTACAATGTAAAGGCCATGGTATCTCAGATATTCGATCATTTCTAATATTTAACTCAACTTTTCGAAGGCTTGATTGTGCCATAATTGATGAAAGAAAATTTAATGTAGTTTTTTTTCGTCTTTCATCATATTTTTCAATATGTAATGTAAATGAAGTCAGAAAATTGAGATGTACTCTTTTGAACATATTATTTAATTGAAGTTCATTAATACCAATGAATGTTATCGATTGAAGGCGAGTCATTTGTCGAAGACGTACTGATGACATAAATAAAGATATTTGATCAGGAATATGTTCATTATTGGAAAGTATTAATGAAATAACATTTTCAGGACGAATTAATCGACATTGAAGATGAAAATTTGATTTTGAAATTGATTCAAAATTGTAAATATATCGATTATAAGTATTGACAACTGCACGAAATAATCGACAGACAGGTCGAATTGACAATAGAATTGTTTCACTATCAAGATTATCGAAAATACGATGAAGAATTTCAACTGGGAAATTCTCCATTGATTAGAATGTTGGTAACTTTTTAACTGCGCACGTTTTACACGTTAAGAGTGTGCTTTTATATTTAGTCGAAGAAAAACAGAACAGAAGAAGATTGTTTTTATTAGTCATCCTACGTAACGAAGAAATACAAAGCGATTCAGTCATATTATTTATATAATAGGAGAGAGATGTCGCACTCTTTAATCATCCAATGATTTTGTATATAACTAAAGATAAAAAATTGTTTTATGAAAGATGTTTCATGGTTTCGCCTTGATGTGTTACGAAATGCATCAAAGTTAGCAGTATAGCTGAAGTGTTTTTATAATACAGTATTCATATATATTATTTCTAAAAATAGAGAAAGAAAGTTCGATTGTTGTATGCCATATCGAGTTTATGAAGCTCCAACCCATCAATAAATTGTTGTTTGTTTAGTTTTTTTGCTTTATCAAGATCGAATATAGCATAAATTCCTTCATTAATCTCCTTTATATTAATCGCTGCTACTCTCTCTTTCGTAAGTCCTAATTTCATGTGGAAAAATATTTTATGATTTTATTCAATATTTCAATACAAAACTTTACCCCTTTCTCCAGAAAATCGACGATTTCGTCCTAATTAACATGTACATCACCTGACATATCAAGTCCAAGGATGAAAAAATAAAAGTTTAATAAAGATATTTGAAAGAGGGTGGGTGCGGGTTTAGGTGTAAGATAAAAACATCACCCACACCCACCCTTTGCGCATGAAATTTTCTGCTACTCTATTATATTCATATTTTAGTTTTCATGAGTGAATTATCAAAATATATTGAGTATAATATAGAGAATCTCATGATCAAACTCTCATAGATATGGTTTTTATTAGACTATAAATAGAAAGCAAACATGTATTAAATGAATTTTTCTCGTTAAGACAAAACACAAAATAACATTCTACTAGAAGTTCATATAAATTCATTTCGAAGAACTTAATCATTTTGATTATAAATTTCTGCCAATGTCATTGGTTCGGTGATGTTCTTTGTTCCAAATCCTAATTTCTCTGAGAGAATTTTTGAACTTTCTAAATCTAATTTATTAAATTCATAATTGGCAATTAAACGTCCTTTGCGTAGTAAAGCTGGATCAATTGTTGTTAAATCACAATTAAATGTGGCAACAATTTGTTGATGCATTGCATCACCCAATAAACCATCAGATCTAAAAGGAGAAACAATTATCACTTAATAAATCTGTCAATTGGAAAAAAAATTCATTTACAAATTCAAAAGATTCGCAACAGCTTGTGATGGAAAAGAAGATTCATTTCGATCTTTAATGATATTTTCTGCGTCTTCAATAATTAGAATTGAATCAGGATATTGCATAAGAAATGGAAGAAAGTCTGGTGAAGAAATCTCTTTTGCCATATCTGGTGGAACATAGATCAATGTTTTACCTTGAATTTCATGAATTAAATATCGAATATAATGAGTTTTTCCTATTGAAAACAAAGTAAATTTTATTTCACATTCGAAAACTCTCAGAAATTTCGCTAATCATTTTCTTTCGAACGTACCTGAACCTGGAATACCATGTAAAAGAACGATTCCTTTATTTTCTACTGTATTCAAACTTTTAATAATTTTCTCATGAACTGAAACAAAATCATTTCCATAATAAAGTGCGAGATCGGTAATAAGTGGTTTTTTAATAGTAATACTATTGAGATAATATCCACATTGATTTCGACAAACCATTTGTAAAGTAAATGTTATAGTTGGTTCTGGTGTTAATAGTGTCATGTTATAAAAAGATTTGCATAACTCTGGCACGAATGTTATCTGATGTGGAAGATAATAAATAGTAATTGATGTTGGAATTGAAAAACCGTTATCAGCATTATCAGCTTTTAATTGATTTGGATTTAATACTGCAGAATTCAAATAAATGTCATGGAATTCGAGCATAATACCATTTTTTAAATCACAAAAACGTGCATTAATATCCATTTGATTTGTTTGAACATTATAATTTCCAGTTATTAGATCAGTATTTAAATCATGTTTGAGTTCATCACGAAGATAATTTAATATTGTTGTTACATGTAATAATTTTCTATCAGTACCACTAATACAACTTAAAAGACATGGAAGTGCATGATATTTACCAAGAAATAATCGAATTGATGATGCACCATAACGATCACCTGGCATATTAAATTGAAGAAGAGATTCCATCGATATATTTGGTAAAGCACCGACGTACATAGAATTTTGCTTGGGTTCATTTAGTCTTGTTTCTTTTTCGTCAGACATGATTATTTAAAAAAATTGAGATTGATATATTAGAAAAATGATGCTTATTTATATTACAAAATGTAATTGCTCTTCATTGCAAAATTATTGTGAAATAACGTGAAAGTATAAAAATAAATTAGTAATATTGAGTTGCGTTGAATTATTTTATCAATAATAACATGATATGTGCCAATGAGAACCATTTGTTAAGAAAAGAATTTTTTGTAATACTTTTTTTCTTACTATAGATCGATGATATTCCTATCAAAAACGTGTTTTTTCCCATTCTATGGTTAATTTGTCATGCGAATAGCAAAATGCACTAGATGGCAGGCACTTCTAATAGGAAATGAAATGTCGCTGTTTTTTTATGGAAACAGTCGAATGCTTATACTGTTCGAGTAAGAAAAGTCTTCAACAGGTGTGTATGTCTGGAAAGTCATACAGTGCATCATTTGATCGTTATCTGTTGATGATGATGATGAAGTTGCAGAAAGAAATAAACAGACAACGATTATTGGACTATTTGCTTACTTCGTTGGTGTTGATTTGAAGATTTCATATTCACACGAGTCTCTAAGTCTTAAAGTTAGATTCTCGTGCACAGAACAACAAAAATAGCAAAGCGAGTTCAAGAGTGAGAGAAGAAATAATGTCGATGTTTTATAATCCACATCATCTTGAGGGTGTGGGTATTAGTTAAAGTTCACACTCATACCCTTTCATTGCATACCATTCATTGGGTTTTTCGATGGAGATACCAGAATGAACATTTTATCATGAATATTTTTCGTTTCAAATGATAAAACATTACGATTATCCAAAGAATGTAAAACTTATTTACTTACCAAGCGATTTAGTAGAACCAAATTGTATCAATGAAAAAAGGTATAAACCATTGAAATATTATATTTCTTGAACAAATATTATCATTCAGCTTGTATACAATTGTAGACACGTTCAAAAAAAAATATGGTGCAGACATTTTAACACCATATTGTTATTCAATTATTTAATTAGAGATGGATATCAGTTTTTTTTATACGGAAAAATCCCAAATACCTAGCGATGATGAATAGACTTTGTTGTTCTAAGTAATAGTTTCAATTTAAATTTTCATTATATAAGTTTTTCTTGATCTCCTCATATCAAAAACTTCATCAGTATTTTGTGAGGACGTGAAAATGGGTAGGAGATGCAATGAATACTCACATTTCATACTCTCAACAGCAGAACGCAAGAGAAAGTAAACAATTTTTTTTATATAGTGAAGAAAAGAAATGATTCGTTCTGTATTCGTTCTTATCGTATAAGAAAAGAAGAAAAAATGTGCACCGCACATTTCATTTCAAAACACAAACAACGCTATTTCATCGTAAATAATGCATATACTTGTTCTTGCATCTGACTATACACTCTATACTGATGAATTATTGAAAATAAATCCAAGTTTACAATTAATCGCAGGTGACAAACCGTCAGATCTTATTGATGCAGGTAAAAACTGTTCTATATGGTTAGGAGATCCTCATTTAGTAGCAGAACTTCTTCGCTTTGGTGTTAAACCTAAATGGATTCAATCTACTTGGGCAGGTATCACACCTCTAATGGCAGATGATTTATCATATGATTGCATACTGACTAGAGCAGTTGGTGTTTTTGGTCAACTAATGGCAGAATATCTACTGACCTATTTTCTTGCACACGAACGTCAACTGATAGAACGGATTGACTATCAAAAAGAAGGTAAATGGTATGATCGTCAACCAGGTACTCTTAAAGGACGACAGATTATGATTGTTGGAGCTGGAGAAATTGGCTGTTGTGTTGCTCAAATGCTGGTACCTTTTGGTGTCAATTTGATAGGAATTACTAACACACCTCGTTCGATCAGTCCATTTCATCAATGTGGGACATTAGAAGATCTTCCTCGGTTTTTAGAAACTGCGGACTATGTGGTTAATCTCCTACCCAATACATCGCAAACGCAAAATATCTGGAATGCAACGTTATTTGCTCGAATGAAACCAACAGCTATATTTATTAATGCAGGACGAGGTAGTGCAGTTGTCGATACTGATCTCATTACCAGTTTGGAACAGAAACAATTGGCAGGTGCAGTAATTGATGTCTGTCGAACAGAACCATTACCTTCCGACCATCCATTTTGGCGTACACAAGGACTTCTTCTTACTAGTCATAGTGCTGCACCATCTCTGGCACATGCTATTGTTGAGCTTTTTTATGACAATCTAAATAGATTTTGTAACAATCTTACTATGCGCGGTAGAGTTGATTTTGATCGTGGTTATTAGAAAACATTAATTCCTTTTCAATTAATCTATGTGTATAAATAAATTCAGTGTGTAGAATATTTACCTTCACCCGAACAGAAAGAAACATGTTTTTCTCTTTCATAACATTGTGCAGGAATATGAGTCATACATACATACATACATAAACATATATTTATTCTTCAGTCGTCATGTGATTGCATGGCATAGTAAGTGATGGAGCGTCCACAAATCATATATAAAAATAATGGTAATTTTGAAGAAGTAACAGATCTTGTTAATGAAACATTACGTGGAATTATTTGTGCATGTGAAAATAATAATGTACATCAATTAGAAACAATTTTACAATCAATTGAAACAGTTGAACTTAATCGTTATTTAAATGCAATGATGGAGTTATATCGTTTTCCAACATATCTGTTAACTCCATTAATGTTTGCATCTGTTCATGGACATAGTTCAATTGTTCGTTTTTTATTAGAAAACTATTCTCATTGTTGTATAGTTGATGCACTGAATTGTTCGTGTGACTTTAATTATGAAACTGATAGATATGAAGGATATTTCTATAGACAAACAGCACTTTGGCTTGCTGTTCAATACAAACATTTCAGTGTTGTTCAAATACTCATATCACTTGGAAAAGCAAATGTTAATCATATGGCAGATGAGTCCGAACGAAAGTCATGGACACTATTAGGTTTAGCATGTAGAGATGGACAATTAGAGATGGTCAAATATCTCATTGAAAATGGTGCTAATTTATACAATGTTGATCAAAATAATTCAACATCTCTCATGATTGCATGTAAATATGAAAACTATGATGTTGTACAGTATTTACTAAGTTTAGATGATATCAATCAACATCTTCTAAATGCAATGGATAACAATAGATCAACTGCATTACATGTCGTGGGAAATATATCTTATAGAACAGTTGATCGAAAATTAGATATTATCAAATTGTTATTAGAAGGATATCATGCAAAAATTATCAAGAATAACGTGGGATGCACACCATTAACAATAGCTGGTATAGACGATGATGAGCTTGTTATGAATTATTATATGAATGATGATGACAAATCTTGGTATACAACTTCACAAATCATTGATGAACTTGAATTAGTTGGATGTTATCATTTGATATCGAATGGAGTCGATAGATATAGCAAATCTTATGAATATTTTCTACGAGCAATGAAATTAAGATACAAAGACTTAAATAAACCAATTCTTAAAACTAATGTTCTACCACCGATGGAAGTTTATGATTATTATATTGAATGTCAAACAATCGAAGAGTTAGAACTGATTAAAGATGATCCAGATCGTATCATGATGCAAAGTCTTATGATATGGGAACGATTGAGTATAACATTCGATTTTCTTAATCAACTTAATACTCGAGCTTTATATTATGCAAAGAGCAAAGAATATCAACGTGCTATACAGTTATATACACATGCATGTTATCTTCGAATAAACACACATATTGATTTACATGGATATTTAGAGAATCTGAAGAATTGTACTAAAATCATGAGTAAAATGATCGAGTATAATAAAACGGAAGAAATTCAATTTGATATACTTATTAAAATATTAGAATTAACTGGAAATAAATTTTTAAGAATTAAAGATCTTCGATTGGTGAAAGATTTTCATGGAAATAATGATAGATTTCCTTGGTCATCAAATGAAATCAAATCCACTGAAGTGTATCATATAGATCAATGTTTATCTATCATACTTAATCTAATTTTTATTGGAATTGAAGTAAGTAACACAAGAATAAATTGAAATATAACATTAAAAAAATCTAGATCTTAAGATATAGTGGTGAAAAAGAACAAGAACGACGACGAATTATTCATCAATTAGTTCAACAATTACTTGATTCTGATTATCGTACTGTATCTGATAACAAAACATTATTACATCTTTCTTTGATTCCATACCACAAGGATCGGTGGCTTGGTCATATTGGTATTGTCACAACATTTCCATCTCTACCGGTTGTGAAATTCTTATTGTCTTGCCGAGCATCAGTCAACGCAATTGATAATAATCATTATACACCATTGCATGATTTTGTTCTAAATGATTATAAACATTTTCCCCATCTCCAATGGATTGATATAGAAAACATATTTAAATTGCTTATCAATTCTGGTGCACATCTTGATGCAATTGCTCATGGACGAACACCGAAAGATTGTGCTAAAGATACAAGATTTCAACGTCTTTTTGAAATGCATCCCATTCAATTGCACTTAAAATGTATTTGTGCTCGACTGATTCAAAAGGAAAAGATCGATTATATGAATTCAATTCCTACACATTTGCAATCATTTATTAAAATGCATTGATTATACTCTCAAATTATTGACAATTATTGAATAAGAAAGATATTCATATAAAATAAAAATATTACTTCATGTTATGTCATTTAAAAAAACTGCACTACGCCATATGGCTTCTCTACCATCGCTTATCTATATGACGCTGAAATAAGAAAGAATATTCTAAAGATAACTAAGATTTTCTTTTTCTTCTCATATCATACTACGTCAGTTAAATCATTATGCACTTTTCAAATGATACGACAAAATTTAACGTTATCTTTGCAAAGTAAGATGATCATGCAAAGTGTCTAATTCATATAAATACACATCACTTTTTCATTACTAGTAAATCATTTGTCGTTGATAAACAAGACTATTATCATTACATACAATAACAATAATGAAAGTCATCATCGCTCTCTGTGTCCTCTTCGTAGGCGCTTATTGTGCACCTATGCTCGATGAACAACTCGGTAATCAATGGGCTTTATTCAAACGTGTTCATGAAAAACAATACTATTCAATTGAAGAAGAAACAGCTCGGTATGTTATACAATATTGTATTGTTTTTGTTAGAAATTAGATTTATTATTTTTGTTTGATAGCCGTACCATCTGGGAAGCTAATCTTGCTAAAATTCAAAAACACAATGTTGAAGCTGACTTAGGTATTCATACATACACCTTAGGAATGAATCGATTCGGTGATATGGTAAGTTATTTTTTTCTTATATTATTGCAAACATCAAAATACATTACATATATATATATTTGTGTAGACCAATGAAGAATTCCGTAAACAAATGAACGGTTTCAAAGTCTCAGCTAAAGATGAATCATTCGATCGTCATACATTCTTAGCTCGAGCAAATGTTGCTATTCCAGATGCTGTTGGTATGTATCTCTCATATTAATTCTTTATTTGCACATAATCTTAAAAATATTTTGTATAGATTGGCGTACAAAAGGTTACGTAACACCAATCAAAGATCAAGGACAATGTGGATCATGTTGGGCTTTCTCAGCTACTGGTTCACTCGAAGGTCAACACTTCGCTAAAACACAACAACTCGTCTCACTCTCTGAACAAAACTTAGTTGATTGCTCAGGCAAATTCGGTAACATGGGTTGTGACGGTGGTTTAATGGATTCAGCTTTTCAATATATCAAAGCTAACAATGGTATTGATACCGAAAAAAGCTACCCATATGAAGCTCAAGATGGTAAATGCCGATTCAAAAAAGAAAATGTTGGTGCCACTGATACTGTATGTATTATCTTTATACATGAATTTAAAAACTTATACTATAATTATCTTAAATGTAGGGTTTCGTTGATATCAAAGCTCAAAATGAAACTGATCTTCAAAATGCTATTGCTACCATTGGTCCAATTTCAGTTGCTATTGATGCATCACAAGATTCATTTCAATTCTACAAATCAGGTATCTACAATGAACCAGATTGTTCATCAACCGAACTCGATCATGGTGTATTAGCTGTTGGTTATGACAAATCAGGATCAGGAGAATACTACATTGTCAAAAATTCATGGGGAACATCATGGGGTAATCAAGGATACATCTGGATGGGCCGAAACAAGAAAAATCAATGTGGTATTGCTACCATGGCCAGCTATCCTCTTGTTTAATTCAACGATTATATTAAGAAAATAATACGAACTGTATATTTAATCCTTTTTCATATTTTTCATCTAGTTGATACATATAACATCTTTAAAATAAATCGAATTTTCTCTACAAAAAATCTTGTATTATCGAATTGATATTATTGAAATAATCTTGAGGAAATGGATGTAGATAAAGACACAACACCCACACTCTCAAGATGATTTTAATGGTGATACTTATCAAGATCTGGCTGTTATATATCAACACACTAATACTATAGAATGTTGCACGCGTGAAATTCTCAAGAAAAGCAACTCCAGTCTCTAACATAGTACAAATCAATCAGTAAAACTTCTGTTTCTAAGAAAAGGATTACATATAGTTTGATCTCCTCTTAAATCATTGTAATTACAAGACTTTTTTTCATTTTTCTTTTTACAAAACATTGAAGAGAAAGGACATCATGTATTATGTAAATTTCTCGTATTTGCTTTTATTTTTATGTCATTATTCTGTTGCTTATTAAACAATATTTTAAGCTACTATATAATCATTAAACTCACATTAACGTCTATAAATCAAGATATCCATGTGAATTTTCTATAATTATCAGTTACTTATTAGCAAGCAAGGAAGAGAACAGCTAATTATTGGCGTAATTTGTAGAATTAAGAAATATTCATAAATGACTTAGAAACGCTTGTTAATGCAGCTGCTTGGAAGTTAAATTGTAGTATTCATGTACTTCAATATACAGATAACAAATATTTTCATAGCAATAGACCTTTTACGCTCAGAAGAATGCGTAATGTCATGAATTAGTGATAACATAATAAAAATTAATTAAAATAAATCGATTTCTCGAGATATTTTCGTTTTATCATCTCGTCGTCACGCTCGTTTTTATTTGACTTTTCGTTATGTATTTGAATGGATACTGAAACAGTCATAATTGAAAAACGGATTAATTACCAATTTTTGCGCTGATTTGACGCCTTTTTGTTATTAATAACACAGGATTGTTGAAGGTGTATAATATGTTAATATACACTTTCTTCATTTATCTGTGATGGAAAAACCTGTCATAGACATTATTGAACTTCATTTCTTTAATACCTCTGATTCAGTTATGATCTTGCCTGAATATTTTTCATTTAGGATTACTCAGTAATTCTGTTCTCATTTGAAAGATAAACATTTCTTTTTTAAGTTTAAAAATATTAATAAATCAATAATCTATTAGTTTAAAAATTCTTTCAAATTTTAATAATTGTTCTGATTCTCACTAGCTATCAAATATTTATTCATATCATTTTTTTATATATAAACTGGAACTGCTGAATTCAAGAATGACGTTCATTTCCGACGAGAATAGCAACACATAACCCGTTACCTATTTTTTAATTGCTTTTTTCATAATTAAAAACTGATTCGAGGGTAAAGAAGATACCAAAAGCTTTGGACTTTGTAATCTTATTTTCCATTAATTCATAAATAAAAGCCTTGTAATAATCAGTAAATTATGTTGAATAAATCTATTCATTCATCATTGAATGTCATATATGACAGCTGATGACGATTAAATGGATTTATTCATTATTAAGTGTCATATATGACAGTCAATGGCTCTTTCAATACTAATACCATATGTAAATCAAAGTAAAAAGAACGCCAAGGTTCAATTGATAAATATACATTTGAATATAACTGTCAGAGATAAGAATGATTTTTTTCTAAAAATCGATTAGAATTTGCAATTGCCTTGATATTTTGGGGAACTTCAATCTTAAATAACTACAGCAATTCTAAATGTATTCGTTCTTGATGAATATATGATATCTGATTTTATGCTTTCAATTTGAAATCGCTTTACTATTACGCGTTTCATATAAAATCTATTTGAATGCGAATTTCATTAAGATGTAATCTTTTCAAAGTTAGGATATTTAATTCATGACATGATTTTTCACTTCTTTTTTAAATAATTTTGACATTTTTTAATAAAAAGTCTAATGAAGTTTAGACAAATAAAGTTGCGTCTGATATAGAAGAAAGAAACGCTTGGAAATATGATTGCGCCCCAACACATCAAATGTTTTAAAGAACTTATTATGACGCACATCATTTTTTTTTCTAACTGCGTTTTTGATGCGTCGTAAAATCATTTTTAAACACCTCTGGACGCGTTTCAAAGCATCGATTTTGCGTTCTATGATTACATGGATGGAACATTTAATAATAGAATATAATTTTCCATAGAATATTAAATTTTTTTTTTTTTTCTAAATTGCTGCAAGCAAAAGTTTTTCTTTCGTATAAAATATGGTTTACTTTAAGCTTATTAGATACCATATATTTTTTTTATATCATAAGAGATATTAACGCATTTTAAGCAGTACCTATTTAAAATCATGATGAATAATATTGCATTTGTACTCAACTGGATTACACTTATTATTAGTATATTTGCATGTTTGATTTCATCTATTATCTTTATCCATATCATCTGTTATCTCTTTAATAATCGTATGAAACCAGAAGATAGAATAACTATTATTCATTGTGCAAACATTTATCCACTCATCTTCTGCTTTACCGGAATATTAGTTGCATTTAGTATTCAATCAGTATTAGGAGATTTGTATGGAAAGGAGTCAAGTGCATCACCATGGTGTATTTCCACAGCATTTATGTTTCCTGTTCTTTGCACTACGTTATATTGGAGTTTTGTCAATCAGGTAATCATGAACTAAAATATATCATTAATTTGAAAAATATTTCTCTTTAGGCTATCTTTCGTCTTTGCCGAATTGTATATGCAACTCATAAGTGGCTTCAACATTTTTGGTTGTATATTATTATACCTCCTATTGAATTTATTTTAAGTTGTGCACTGTTGTCTCCACTCCTTTTCTGGCATCACATTGTTTATTTACCACAAGAATACTACTGTTATGTACCATACACAAATATTCTTGGCATTCTTTGGGTGATATTAAATGCTTA